TAAAAAAATGGGAAGAAAACAATGATAGGAAAGAGGGAAGGAGCAGATCGATAAAATCCGAGCCTTTTTTTTTATATACAGTCACAAAATCAGTGATCTTAACTTCAAAAGCATGAAACAACATCATCAAATTTTCTATTTCATCAAATCCACCCAACAAACTTCCCCTATTTATTATTTGCAAACAATTAATTAAATCCAAAATTCAGTACAATCAGCTCATCGGAAACTGCTCCTGAGTGGAATTTTTTTTTTTTGTAATTTAAAAAAATCAGAGGCGAATTTCAACAACTCACAGAAGAAGCTACACTATAATAGTATAATGTATGTATATATATACCTTGGAAGAGAAGGTTTTAGTCGGGGCTGAGCGAACATCGGATTGCTCGTCATCGAAATCGTAGAGCTGCTCGCCCTCGCCATCGGAAAAGTCTGAATCCTCCTCTTCCTCGCTGTGGCCGCTGCTATAGTAATCGTCCTCCATAAATACTGTACTTATTGCCTAGTTTCATAAAATCTGTATATACATGTAAAATCGGTGGAGATAATCGCCTTCGAATTGGTCACCGTGATCGGCTTCGGCGATCGACGGCGGGTAATTTCCGGGGAAATTTTCGCCGGCAATTGTACAGATAGGAAGAGTTGTAGAGAGAGAGAGAAACTTAGAGAGAGAAGCTGATAGAAAGAGGGGTCTTTTATTGTGTGGAGTGGGGTCTGTAGAGTAGTTTATACGACGCCGTTTTCCTTTTCTTTTTAGTGGTTTGTGAAGCTTGTACGACACCGTTCTGTAGGAGGTGTGCGATGGAAGGTGTTTAAATTTTAAGGTCAAATTACGCTCACCACCCTGAGGTAATGTCATATTACGAAAAAAATCCCTATTGTTTGCGTAATTACAGTCACCCTCTCAACTGTGTATTTCCTTACACGTTCACCCTTATGTTGTCAAATTTACATAGGGGTGTTCGTCCGGTCGGTTCGAACGAAATTTCGGTACATGCCGATTACTAAACCGGTAATTCAGTTCCATATTCACGATATGAAATATTAGTATTTAAACTAAATTAATCTAAAAAATAAATAAATAATTTATTATTAATTATTTTTTATAAAATTTCGATGATTCAGTTATTTACCGAACTGTACGATAAACGATATGAAAATTTGGCCTACCGATATTTCGGTATGATTTTACCGAATGAACACCTCTAAATTTACCAATTGAAAGGGTTTTTTCGTAAGACAATACATCGTTGAGGGGTGGCTGTAATTATGTAAACAATAGGATTTTTAAGTAATTTAACCTTACATCAGGGGTGGTTGTAATTTTTCTTAAATTTTAATTATGGCATGATTGGTATACAAGGAAAAGAGAAGATAAATAAATAAATAAATAAATAATTAATACAATGGAATTACGTAAGTAAATAAAATTATATAATTACTCTAAATTGTCCATGAAAACTACATAAAGAATTAGTTATAAGACCAATATAGCTCAGAAAATTAAACAAATACAAGACCTATATAATTTGATTTTTAAAAATTAATATGATGATAAATTTGTGTTATATGACATCATAAAGTAAATGTGTAATATTTATCAGCTTGTTGAGTATATATTTAGATCATATTCAAACCCTATTGTGGAAAAGGCTCCGAGATAAATATTATCTGATGGGGGTCAACTCGGCACTTTTGGGCCGAGCACGCCATACTCAAGATTAGTGGCTTGAAAGCCCAACGAAGAAGAAAAGATAAACTCATAATCAAGGTGACCCAAATACTTTATGCGCAAAATCTAGGCGAAGAGAGAGAATGGAGATGAGACAATGTCTTCGCCGGAAAGAAAGCACAGAGAAAGAGAGGCCAACGAGCTCGCACAACTGAAAGATCGCTGGTATACTTCCCCTCACAAGATGTCAGTTCGCAAGATAAGAATGTGGATAGGAGGCGAGATCAGAAGCGGGAATTATGTGAGGAAGATTCGAGTATATTTTCCATAAAAAAAATAAGAAAAATGTAAATTAATGATTAAGATTGATTGATCGATTAATGTAAGACCGGATAAAAGATCCTCATTAGGAAATCAACCATATATAATTAGCTATATAAATAAATGTACGAAAAACTCTATTAGAGTTACGCACACAATCAATAATCCAATTTATATCTTTTTTTTGAACTCTCTCTTTCTTTCATAATCTATGTGTCGATCTTGTTCATACTTGCTAGCCTTAAATACGGCCACGATTGAGCTTCTCCGACGAACAAGTGAGCATGGTTCGAAGAGAGGGATTGAAGGTGCAATTTTTGTGCCATCATCACCTAAGCTAACCTTTAGTGATTATTAGTAAGTTAATTCTTACCTTTCTTAATGATTTTCTTAGATAGTATATAGACTAATAACCAAATGAATATTTAGCATAAGTTGTAATTTTTGGTTCACAGTTTCATTTGTGATTTGTGATGCTATTTGGGAAACAAGTTTGATTTCTCTCTCTCTCTCTCTCCCTCTCTCTCTTTTAGTTAATATATAAAAATAAAGTTTATTCCTTATTAATATTTCATAAAATTGGCCAACTATTTGTTTAGTTTAGTAATAGTAAATAAATTAACTAAATAGCATTCCTGTATTATTATATATATATATACATATTACTATCAAACTTTATCAATAAGCTGGAATAGCTCAGTTGGTTAGAGCGTGTGGCTGTTAACCACAAGGTCAGAGGTTCGACCCCTCTTTCTAGCGAATTTTCTTTTTTGTTTTTACTTTTATATGTCGGTGGCTAAAAAAAATCGACGGAATTATCCCCAATTTACGAAATCCCGATTTTTCCAATTCTTTTCGGAATATAATTTAATTTCTCTTTTAAAATAGAAAAAGTAAAATAATAAATCTGCAGGCTTAACCCAAGCTCTGAGATAGAATTAAAAATAGATACATTGATGGCCCAATCCAAAAAGGCCCAAGTAATCTGCAAGTAAGCCCAAATAGATACATTAGGCCCAAGTAGTACCTAATTGTCATATTAAAGAAAAATGTTAATTGTATAACTAAAGTGGTGTCTCAAAAAAAAAAAAAAAAAGTTGTTTTTCCTCGTATATCCATTTTGGCTAATTTCATATATGGTTTATCATTATACTTTAGACATTGCACTCTCCATTTTTAGGTTCTGCTCATACTTAGCTCTCTATATGTCTTGAAAATTTGGAATGCCCTTCACTCTACATTAGAATTACAAGTTACACTTCATTTCCATTTAAAAAAACGGGACTAGTCATAAAAACGTGTTCTAAAGAAACACGTTGAATATTTTTTTTCCCTCAAATTTTTTTTTCATAAGACAACATTTTCTAAAGACGTGTTTCAACAAATATTTTCGAAAAAACGTGTTTGATGACATTTTTGAACATCAACAACTTCATATTTGTATCCGTTTGTTTCGAAATCACTGTAAGTCACAATGTTTTGTATTCTTGCTTCAGAAACCGAGACGAGAAAAGCGGGGAAATCAAGGAAGAAGAAAGAGGAGATTTCGACAAACTTCTGTTGCAGTTCAGACTCGTTGCGTATCCTACTTTTAAGGTTCGATTTATTGTTCTTAACAAATTACATAGTTGTTGCATATTAGTTTGACCCGATTTTAAACTTAACATTGCAATAAAATTTGTTTTTTCGTTGTCGGAGTTCGATGATCCCTATTTTTTTCTTCGAATCGCACGATTTTGACAAATTTTGCAGTGGGGTAATGTGTTTCCACTATTTAGTTCATGAAAATAGTATTCATAATTCAGATGCAAGAACTATATATTTTTCTTTGCTATTTTTCCCTAAAAGATAATTTGATAATGAAAAATACTTTTATTAATCAATATTACTTATTTCAATTTCTTTTTTATGAAATTTAAAAAATTCCCCACTCACACACAACATTCCTCCACCGACCAACTTCTTCGCCGTATATTAACTAACCTGCGCACCTGGTTAATTAATTAAGGAAAAAAAAAGGGGGAACGAGGAGAAAAAAGAAGAAACCCTAGATTCTTCAAAACGATGTCGTACGACGATGTAGAGATCGAAGATATGGAGTGGAACGAAGAGCTGCAGTCGTTCACTTACCCATGCCCCTGCGGCGATCTTTTCCAGATAACGAAAGAGGATCTTCGAATCGGCGAGGAAATCGCGCGCTGCCCTAGCTGCTCTCTCTACATCACCGTTATTTACAACATGGAAGATTTTCAGGACAAGCCGAACAAGAAAGCCGAGCCGCCTAAGCCGCAATCCGTCGCCGTCGCCTGAAAAAAAAAATTAAATTCAGGTCATGTGAAATTTTTGATTATTTTTCCTAGTTTTTATTTTTATTTTTTATTTTTCAGGCGGATGTGTTTAATTTGTGAGGAGTTTTGATTTTGGTTTTGGTATCAATTTAGGGTTAGGGTTTTTTATTTTATTTTTGGGTGTTTCAGTTAGATGAAAATTTGTATCTTGTGGAATAGAGAAAACAGTGATAGAAAATTTCTACATGATTTTTACCTTTTTTTTTTTTATTTTTTTTGGGTTATAAAAATTTGAGCTTGAAGTTATTTTCTTTGGTTTTCCTAATTGTATATTTACATACACTCTGTTCATCTTCTTGCCATAAGATCTTGGTAATAAGCACTTATATAGTTATATTATTACGGTAGAACTTCGATAATTTAATAATCTCGCTAAAATAATGATTTATCACAAGTCCTGACTCATTGAAAAATAATTAAATTATTAGTTCGATAACGTAATATTTCGCTAAATTAATTGAATTTTGCTAGTCCCGATTCTATTAATTTGTTGAGGTTTAACTGGTGAATTAGGTCAAACATGGAAATACTTTGGATGCAGCTTATTTATGGTCTTGTTAATGCTTCTTATGGTGAAATAATCGGATAGCTTTCCACCGTTGATTTACACACGCACACACACATGTGTGTGTATGTGTTTAAAATAAATTGAAAATATTCGCTAGGCTTTATTTGGTTGATGCTGTAATTAGAGGATCATTTTTCGCGTCGACACTTTGACAGGTGAATTATTTTGCTGTTCTTGTTCTGTAGTAGATCAACTTGGAATTGTTTATGGAAGCATTTAAAGAGTTTAACGCATGAACCAATTTTGTGTCCAAAGTTTTTCGTTTTCCTCAGGTTTAATTGAAACTATCGATTTAATAGCACGATTATTTGTGTAGCATTGTAAACAAATTCATTTGGTGGTATTTGTTAATGACCGAAGACACAAGCTGTGCTGTTAGCGTACTTTTGGTGATTTGCAGCTTGGATCGGTTTAAGGCAAAAGCTAGTCTCTATACCCCATCCGTACGCAGAAAGTTACTCGGTCGGGTTTTTTCTGTAATTTGGAAGTAATTCCCGTATTGAAAAACAAAATTCAGAAGTCTTGAAATCCTGTTTTTTTTTCCTTAAGAAAAAGAAAATTGGGATTGAAACTTTCAAAAGGATGCAAATTTAAAGAATGGACAAAACAATTTCTTCGTTCTGAATGCAAACAATGATACGGTCTATGAGATGTTGCACCCGTTGATTTTACACCATATATACAAGTAACTACCCATTATATATATATATATATATATATATATATATATATATATATATATTGTTTTGAATCATCTGGTATATTCACCGAGTATAAATTACAAGTATAATATTTTTTCGTAAATCATCGGTAATTAACAAATTAGCGACTGTTCCCATTGGTAACTAAATGCATCAAAATCTTTAGAAAGAAAAAAAAATCAGCACCTGTTATCTGATCGAGGGGTAGCTGCGGGGTACTTGGAAGTTGGAAACACATAGCTACCTACAATTGGAAAATCGAGAAATCCTCGGTTCTTTATGGGGGGATTCGGAATCAAGTTAGTAATCTTCGAAAAGACTTAGGAGATAGTCTCTTATTTTCCATTGATTCCACAATAGACTGACTTCCTTGTGCTTTGAATGAAATTGCTTTCTTTGAATGAAAACCAAAATCAAAATGCATTTATTTTGAAATTTCAACCAATCGAATCAAAATGCAACCAAAATCCGATACAAGCCACATATTTTGTAATATTACAAATTATGTTCAAGAAAGAAGCTATAAGCTACTCATAAATAAGTTGCCAACAAACCAATAAAGTGGCAAATAAGTTCGAAAGTAATATAATATAATATTACTTTCAAAACTTAAACTCTAATTGCAAAAAAAAAAAAAAGGAATATAATAAACTCTTGTTTTTTGGTACTAGAATGGTACGCGAAGAAATGGAGGGAAGAATTTGCCCTGGCACTCTAGTCATGTTAGAAAAGATGCAAACATGGAATTATAAACCTAATCATAATTATAATTAAGAGATGGAATTAATTAAGCTAATTAATCAAGATTAATTCATATACGACAAAAGAATCATAAGAAAACAATACCTAATTCGATGAATTAGATAAACAGCCCTAAATTCTTGAATATATGAAAGCTGGATTTTGAATGTATTTATAATACGATGGAACGGGCCTAAGTAATCGGCTTTTAATTTAAGGGGTCATTACAAATAAGCCCATCAATGGGTACATATTTATAAAGAGATCCAGATAAAAAACTCATTTACCAATAAGTCCACACATGGTCCAGATTTTTGTGAAAGACTAGAATAGCCCCTCATACTTTAATACTAGTACTTCACCCGTACGTTGCACGGGAAATTCATCAAAAAAATAAATATTTAATTTTAAAAAGTTCTCGGAAAGTAAGTTTAATGTGCAATACAAAGTTAATTTTTTTTTATTTCATGTAGATAACAAATTGAGCCAAAATAAGTGAAAAAAACTAAATATCGAAGGTTTAATTTTCGTATACAAAAGGCTAGTACATCGTTACCATTACCATTACCAATACCAACACCAATACCAACACCGTGACCGTTACCATTACCATTACCATTACCATTACCATTATCATTGCTATTATCATTACGATACCAATACTGATATAGATACCGATACTCATACCAATATCAATCATTACCATTACAACTACTGTCACCATTATCATTATCATTATCTACCATTGCTAATACTAATACTAATATAGTAACACTAATACTAATCTGATAATAATACTATTACTATTAGTAATCCTAATGCTAATCTTAATCATAACGTTAACGCTAATCCTAACCATAATCCTAATCCTAGTACTATACACCCAATCATTATTATAATCAAAATTATAATCATAATCCTAATACTAATATTAATGTTAATCTTAATTCTAATTTTAATTATAATCCTAATCCTAATAATAATACGAATCATAATTCTAATCCTTATAGAAATGCAAATATGCTATTGCTAACACTAATTTTAATACTATTCTTAATATGCCAATGCTAATGGTAATGTTAATCCTAATTCTAATCATAATTCTAATCATAATTCTAATTATAATGCTAGTAATATTAATAATCAAAATGCTAATATATCGCAATACTAATATTCATACTAATATGCTAATAATAATGCTAATGCTCATCATAATACTAACATAATACTTATATGCTAATGCTAATGCTAATCATAATATACTAATGCTAATGATAATCTTAATTCTAATTCTACTGTTATTGCTAGTACTAATGTTAGTCCTAAACTAATGCTACTAATTCTAGTCCTAATGCTAGTGCTAATATTAATCATAATCCTAGTCTTACGCATAAACATAATGTTAATTCAAATGTTAATTCTAATGCTAATTCTAATTATAATTCTAATGTCAGTGCTAATTCTAATAATAATAATCATAATCCTAATCATAATCATAATAATAATCATAATTGTAATCCAATCCAAATCCTAGTAGAAATAATCATAATACTTACTAATACCAATACTAATACTAATGTTAATACTCATGGTCGTTCCTGAGAATT